CCGGGTCACACTATTGGTATATTTTTAAAAGTCGTGACAGTTTTTTGTTTGAATCCATTGGTTTTATACAAACAGTGACTTACCGCAAGTGTTCACGTGTTGAATTTTAAATATTTACAACGTTCTTCAAGTTTTTTGTTTTTTGTAATTTTTTATAAAAATATTATTCAAGCTTTAGCCAAAACCACATAAATCAGAGAGAGAAATGTCAAATTTATATTGCTTTGGCTAAAGTTTGAACAATATTTTTTATTGAAAAATAACTAAACAAATTTTTCTTGAAAAACGTTGTGAATATTTAAGAAAAATCAACACGTGAACACTTGTGGAAGTTACTGTACATTTAAAGAATGAAAAATATCTATATCGATTGGTACAACACATAGAAATTCAACTGGATGTTGGAATTGGAACTGTTTTCAAAATCTTTGTCATGGTTGGACTAAATACCAATATTTTATACCAAATTTTGAGCAAATGCCCAATCGTATGGTGCGGCCTTCAAATTTCGCTTCGATCAATATTTCCTTATCTGCTTAAAAAAAGAAGAAACCTTCTTGATTAAATTTCTATATTTTTTTTTGTTTATGATTTTAGTGCTATTAAAAAAGGAAGTAAAAATTTCATAATTCTTCAAAGTATGTCGAACCCTAACCGCCAAAAAACGAAAGCGACATTTTTTCCTACATTTTCTTTTTGGTGCAGATTTACGTATAAATGAAAAAAAAATCGTACGCAGTACTACTTAACTTGTTTGAAGAAAAATTTTTAGGGAATTTAATTTCCCACATTTGTTATATAGAAGGTTAAAAAAAAACATTTTTATTGTAAATAATTAGCAAAAACTGCAAAAAAAAATTACATTGTCACGGTTTTTCGCCATTTTGCGAGAATTTCTGTTGAAAATACATAGCATATTGAAATTCCAGAGTTGTAGAGAATTTCATTTTTTCTTGTACGACGCTTAGATCACGTCCGGGAACATGCCAACATAGCGATGTACCAAATTTCCAAATGGCCAAAATTTTATAAGACGGATTAAAAAGATTTAAGTAGGTCTTAAAATGATCACATAGAGAATGGTTACCAAATGGTTTATTTTAATTATACATACACAAATTATTATTTTTTGACAAAATCTTAAAAAACCCGTAAAAAATGCAAAAGTCATGCTATGAAAATTTATAAAAATACATGTTCATTTATTTTTCAAGCAGAAAAACATATTTTAATCTGAAGCCAATTCTCGATATTACATCGGACTGCCTGCATGATCTGAAATAGATCCTGTCATTAAGCAATTCAGATTAATGACATCTACTGCAATACATTTCGTAAATTACGTTTCGGGACTTATTGTCTTGGGCATGTACATACATATATAGATTTCTGGCTCTCGATATACCCGAAAAGCCAATGTAGAGTTGTCCGTGCGAGCAACATGGAGTGCCCGGATATCTTCCTACAACTTCAAGTGTTTGTCCTTGGATTTTATTTTATGAATCCTTATAGCGATTGTTACTTTTAACGGGAATTCGTTGTTGGGAATTCGTGGTATCAATACTGATACGGTATCAATACTTTCACCCCGCCAGGGATGATGGTGGCATGCACAATATGTGTTTTCAGCTCCGTTATGCATATTCTTGAGCCATTGCACAATCTAGGTGCGTCTAGGTTAAGCATCAATATGGCTGGCACCCCAACCTTTAATTCCAATTGTCCAACAATTGCACCCCTGACAATTCTAAAGAATTTAGATACTTTCTCATTTGTTACCCATTCTTAAATATTTGATTTAAATAGTGAATTAAATTGATTTTGTGTTTATGAAAAGGTGGCAACTCCCTTCAAAAATATATTTGAACCACTTTTTGATACCCACATTGTTGTAAAGTATCATCTCACTTGATAATAGCTGATTTTAACTTTCGAAAAACTTTTAAAAGGTGGCAACCCCGTTCATATAAATATACTGTATACCTATATACAGGCCATACCTATAAGTGTGGCCAAATTCATTGCTGTGTTGGCATGAAAGAGCAACAAACATATACACTCACTAACTAACAATCTCTTGCATTTATAAAATTAGTGGGTTTGACTTAAACGATTTTATTTTTCTAAACGGGTGGCAACTCTTTTCAAACATATTTTCAAAGGAAAGGTTTCTTAACCCTCTCTATTTGATACCCATATTAAAATATTTCCTTTAACCTTTAAAGTAAATTATATTTGAATTTCTCAACAGGTGGCAACCCTTTTTAAAAATATTTAGTAGTAAATTTGTCGTAAATCTTTCTCATTTGGTACCCATACTAAAATATTTGATTTAAATAGTTAATTAAATTGATTTTAAGTTTAGGAAAAGATTGAAAATCTCTTCAAAAATATTTTCGAAATAAATCGTTTTTAAACTTCTTTTGTTTGACACCCACATTGTTGTAACAGTTTATCTAACACTTATAAATTGTTGATTTTAACTTTTGAAGAAAGTGGCAACCCACTTCAAAATATATCCAGGTCATAATTTATAAGCGTACCAAATTTCATTGAAATACGGCCAACCATTTTAGCGTGCAAGAGCTACAAAACAAACTTTCACATTTATAAAATTATTAGGATTATTTTTTTTAACCCTAACGGATATTTTAAAAATTTGAGGCCTCTTAAATATTTACTAATTCTAAACAAATTCCTATTAGTTGATTTTCTAATAAGATTCGAAAAGCTCGTTATGAAACTGGTTTGGCTCGATATCGACCGCGCTGGAACCGATTAGTTTTATTTATAAAACGTTGAAGATGGAAGATTTTGACGAACTTAAGTTTGAAAGAAAGACAATCGAAAAAGTTTTGATGGAGACAACGTTGCTTGCGTGCCATCCATCCTGGACAGTGGCAGAGAAAGTACTCATCGTTTTTAAAGAGATCATTTTTCCTGTGTCCATTTCCATTTGGCAATGGCCATTGATGGTTCCAACGAGCATCCTGAACAGATACTTCTTATATCTCTGTTTCCTGAAACTCAAATCGCCCATGTTATACGCTTAGAGACCAGCTCATTTGTAATAGGCGTATATATTTAATGAATGTCCGCAAAAATGATGACTTTAGCGCAATTACTTTAAAACCTATCAGTTCGACTCGAGAAAGCGGGTTGGGGTGATCAAGGTAATTTCTCTCCTCTCTCCTCACGAGAGTAAAAAATCAATTCTTAACCCAGCGTGAATAATAAATTATCTTCATTCTACCATGTACGGAGCTACTATCTCTGCCACTGACTCGGATTGAGACACGCTGCACTGAAAAGTTCTAAACCCATACATTCTCGTCTCTTTCTCAAAGGTGTATAGCTCTGGAACTTTTCATCTCTGCGGCTTCCAATCCAGTCCTTATGGGTACCTGTTGACAACGATGTCAACTGTCAAACGTCTTACTCTCTTGCCCTGCCACATGTACTCCTAATCCTGAACAAAATATATTTTTGTATCTACGTCTCAATTTCCATAAACAGGTCATGCCGATTTCATAAGTTGCCCAGAAAAAGGGGATATGTGCCCTACAGTAACTTTGCTTTGGCTTTATTTAGGTGTGAATATGCCTCTACCTTGTACTCATTTCCCTCAATCAGAAAGACAATAATTTTTCAAAACTTAAAAAATTCAAAGCAGAGATAGCGGTGGAAAGCTGCCGGAAAGTCTACAACGCGCAACAACAATTTCTATAAATGCCAGGGGAATGGACCATAAAATATAAACCTCCATTGCCTTTCTAATTTTTTCCGGAGCGAATTCGTCAATATGAATCTCATGTCCTAGCGCAGTAGTAGCCATTTTATGAGTTTTACTTTGTCCAAGTAATTATAAATCTCATACAGTTCGTCATTCCATCTTCTCCGGTAGCCGTTGTCACCGCGAGTAGGTCCATAGAGCTGCAATGCAAATATTCTCTCGAAAGCCATCAAAGTATTCGAATCCCTTTTCAACATCGTCCACCTTTCTGTACCACGTAAGGGGGGACAGTCGTGATGAGTTGTAAAATTCCATTAATATAAATTTTCGTAAATACTAGGTCAATAGACTGGTGCCACCTCTGTGGAGCTTAGTATTAGTGACACGCAGAATAAAATCCTAGCATACACGCTGTTGAGGCTAAGCACATTTAGTTCATTTCTTAAGGTATTCGTACGTGCCATTAAACCCAATGGAATGCGCTCAGAAAAAGCGACAAAACGTTCCAGCTGTTAAGCACACACAACTAAGAAGTTCTATAACAACAAGAAAGTAAAAAAAAAAAAAAAAAAACACAATAAATAAAACAACAAGTACGAGTTCCTCGCTAAGCACAGCGACAATGTTGTTCCTAAACTAGTCTCCGCCTTAAGTTGATTTTACGCGTAACGCGTTAACTTTGCCACACGTTTTGCGCATGCGTAATGCAATGGCCCTATTGGCAAGCGTGAGCAGCGTATAGCTTGTCCAGCTTTACATTGCGACGTCGAAGTTAGCGCCAATATCAAAAGATTGAGCGCGAAGATTCCTGCGCATGCAAGCAATACCTATGTACATACANCCAATATCAAAAGATTGAGCGCGAAGATTCCTGCGCATGCAAGCAATACCCACATAAGTATGTATGTAAGAATGACAATATCAAAACAACAATTATAATAATATGCAAAAAGACAATAAAGTAATAACAACAACAACAACAACAACGTACAAGGGAGCGCATACAAAAGAGTGGGCAACAAGCAACGGGTGGCAGTTGTGGCGACACGGTGGACTCTGTGACCGTCGCATCAGTCAAGCCCGATTCATACTTTATGCAATTCCAATCAGTTAAGCGAAAACAGTCGAACGTTGTGCATCGGGCGTCAAAGTTAATACCGGAACGACAGGCTGACAACCGAGCGCAATTTGTTTAAGCCGCCGACTAAGCGCGGGAAAGGAAGGAGAAGAAGAAGAAGAAGAGGAATACATATATAAGTGAGTTGCGCGCAGGCGCAACGCTGCGTGTTTTACATACATACATCCAAACAAAGCCATAAAGGCAGCGATATGGCAAATCAGAGTGTGAACTTGAAATTTAAAATGCCTGGAGCGCCGCGCTCCGAGTTAATATAAGCTCGTGGGTTCGCTTGATATGCTTTATTTTTCGATTGTTATATTCTTTTTTTGTATATTGGCTTGTGCGGTGATTAGAATACGATCGAATTTTTGTTGTTAAAGACGACGACAAGGCAAAGATTTTAGCAACCAGCGCACAGAACTCGGTGATTTCGCAAGCGTGAAGCACGGTTGCGCGGAAATTAACGTTTCTTAAAATATTTCGTTTGGGGAAAAACTTGTAAGCCCGCTAAAAATAAAGTGGACTCGTAAATATCCACTTTCTGAGTGTGGTTATTTTAAGTGATTTCATGCAGTCGTGTTAAACTTTTTGTGGCGGATGAAACAAATGATTTTTTTTAAGCTTTCAAAGGGAACTTATGGACTTAAATTAATTACGTTAAAAACAAGGTTTATGATTATGAAATTTACCTACATATGTAAATATGTTTACATGAAAATTTCAAAAACTACAAATCAAAAGTGATTCAATTTCTTTATTAATGCTTAATCGCAAAATACAAAATTGTAAATGAGCTTTATAGCTATAGACTGCGTCAGAAAAGCTTCGAAACTGTTAGCGTGAAATGTAATAATAAATCATTGGTATAAAAAAAGCTCAAATTTGTGTTCGATCTGAATGACTAACCCTTTTTGACTAATAAGAAATGTGTTATTGGAAAAACAATTAGAAGCGAAGAGAAATGCACAGAACTCAATTATAGTAAATCTGCGCTGCATACCTCGAAAAGTGTGTCAGAATCTCCGCTAAAATCTAACTAGGACTCGAAAAATTGGAACGTATTTCGGTCTTAGTCTACTCTTGTGTCTAGTGTATTAAAGCTTAAACAGAGGGCACNGAAAAGCTTCGAAACTGTTAGCGTGAAATGTAATAATAAATCATTGGTATAAAAAAAGCTCAAATTTGTGTTCGATTTGAATGACTAACCCTTTTTGACTAATAAGAAATGTGTTATTGGAAAAAAAATTAGAAGAGAAGAGAAATGCACAGAACTCAATTATAGTAAATCTGCGCTGCATACCTCGAAAAGTGTGTCAGAATCTCCGCTAAAATCTAACTAGGACTCGAAAGCTTTNGTTGATCCGGATTAACTCGGACTTAATCCGGATCAACTGCAGTTAATTCTCGAGTTAATCCGGATCAACGCTGCCGTCTGTTTGTGCTTTCACAGTCCTCAACTGATGGAAGATTTAAAAAATTATTTAAATGTTTTATGTTAAAAATTAAGTTTTTTTTTATAATACAAAAAAATATCTTTTGATTTCATCTTGCATATCCTGATTATGGATTTACGTATTATTAATTTTAAGTTAGGTTAGGTAGCTGCGCATGTACCACAGTGGCACATACCTTAAGTCCTCGTTTCTTAATTTTATTAAGTCCAGAAGTTGGGCGTGTCTGTCCTGTAATCTCAAAGCTTTGAGTGCATATGTTGAGTTTACCAAGACTTAAACGGGTTGCTTCGGCACTTGTAACTAAAATTTGGCAATCTATTAATAGTAAATTCCATTATTTTTTGTAAAACCATTAAATTGTCACACGTTCTGGTAGCTTTTTACGAGTCGTCATGCGTGGTAGTCGGCTTTGCAATGGGCGAAATTACGCAACTATTTCGTTTAGGGACTTGTTGCATTACATGTCTACCATTGAGATTGTCCCAGGGTTTTGAGAGCGATTTTATTGTCGCCTGGTTAAAACAGAAGGTGTATATATCTCCATCGTATATCGCATCACACTTTAACAATGCTGCGTGCTTATCTATTCCCATTCTCAAATACATACTTAGAATATACACCACTACCAATTCTATCATCGAGATTTGAGCTTTCTACGTATACATAATAAATAATCTCGTTCCTTCCCATAACATCCCTTTGCCGCTTTTCCAAAAGGTTTATATCAACCCAGTAACAACAGCCATTCTACTACTAGAAAACTCCCAGGCATTCATTCTAAAACACTGGTAGGAATAGAGTTAGAAATGTGCTCCGAAGTTAATTATCGCGAGCTTATCTTTGATTCGAATGTACTTTGGAGGAAGCACATAGAGTACGCTGTCACAAAGGTCATACGGGCATATCATGTAGATGCAATCATCATATCCTTCGGAGGACAGATAATAGTAGCGTAGTGATATAGTTTGAAAGGATCGTCTTAAACTCAGTGAAAAGTCATTAGCAGGCATCCTCGACCTAAGACCACTACACATGGTCATAGAACAGATTACTGAGAAGATCCTTTTTATCTTCGTGAAGGATGGCACCGATAAAGGCAGATTTTTGTAAAATTAATCAATTTCATTTGAAATTAAATCACGTATGGACACCCTACGGGAACAGGGCACTATTCACTTCGCAAAGGTCGGTATCCGACGCAGCTACAGGCTGGAAGAAACAGCTTTGCCCGCAGCACCAGTAAGGAAATCAAAAAGCGGCAGCTTCTAAGAGCCCATTGTGAGAGCCGGCATGGGCTATAGCAAGTCAGAGAAATTTATAGGAAGCTACAACTCAAAGAGATTTTTAAAACGACTTTCCCAAAGATAAAATAATTACATAATATGCAGTTATCGTGGGAACATATCGTGTTTGCAGTTTTTCGCATTCTTTTTTTTTGTGTCTGAGAGACTACACGTCAGTAAAATAGAGAAATTTTAGTCACCTCAGTAGCGAAGTCGTTCTATACATAAAACTAAATGCCTTAAAATGGAATTTAGCACCAAAAAGGAGAAATTTTAATTTTTTAAGATTTATGCTAAAAAAAAATCCAAACTTTTCAAGAAAAATATCAAACTACAGGTCATCACACGTAGTGTTGCAAAGGCGCAAATGATAAAGGGCAACTGTCGTATCATACATTATGTGTTATCATATTCTATCATAATTGTTTTGGCAAAGTGCACTGTCGATCATAAGACATCTATCTCAAATCATTAAAACAGAGTTATAGTTCGTTTCCACCAAGCCTTAACTGCAGTTGATGCCTATTGGAAAAAAAGGAATGGGATAATCTTTATTAAGTACAAACAAACGCAAGTAAAAAAAGCAAAAATTAAGAAATAAACTTTGCCGGTCACCTCATGTTAAAATTTTTGGAACTAAGCTCAGCTCTTAACTGCAGTTAAGCGTTTGGTGGAAATACGCCATTAGACTGCACAAAACAGCAAATGTTTAAAAAACTATAAAAATGTTTATGACTTTACACTCGCCAGATTTACAAATTGATTACGTTTATTAATCTTTTCGGAACAATTTAACAATTCCAATATTTCCTTGCAATAAGTCAAAAAACTTTTGAAATGTTTTACACACACACACACTGTCCCATACACATACAAATCTATGTATGCTTGCCAAAAGCATTTGCCCATGCGCACTCAATCAAGTTTTGTGACATTACGGCCACCCAACCGCCCCTCGCACTAATACTTTAATAGCCATACAGTCAGGCACGTACATATGTCTCTATAGTAAACACAAGCACATTGCAAACAATATTTTCAAAGTCAATTGCGCGCGCAATGCAACGTTAATTTTAGCTGACGCGACAACGCTGCCATTTCCTGCGCAGAATAACAAGCAACTTTGGCGCTTTGCAATGGCAATGTCATACAATATGGACACTTATATATGTACATATACATAGACGTAGAGCCTACTCATTAAATGGCTCCCGAAGTCAGAGCCAATTGTGTATTTTTTTTTTCAATTATTGAAAATCTAACAAAAAATTGTGTATTACTCTAGTAATTGCTTGTAAGGGAGCTCATGTTCTATTTCTCGGTTTATCTTAGTTGNTTTTCAATTATTGAAAATCTAACAAAAAATTGTGTATTACTCTAGTAATTGCTTGAAAGGGAGCTCACGTTCTTTTCTCGGCTTCTATTATTTTCAAGCTTGTATTTATTAGCTAAATTTGAACTGAACATTTAAATGTTTAATAACAACAAAAGAACATAAAGCGAAAATATTGTAAATACGAACGAAATTTTAAGTGTTTGAAGTACTAAATTTGCGAAAAGGAAATAAAACCGCGTGAAATATCAGCGAGTTGAAAAATAGAGGTGAGTACAAAAAGTCGAAAAAAATGCATTCAACCAATTTGCATAATTTTTATTTTTTACAAATTTCTGTAGGTAAATAGAAATTCAAATTCGCTTTTTCATGCATTTTTATAATTGCATAAGTACATACAGATGTACATGTGTACATATGTGCGTATGAATACCTATACTAACATAAAACTAAATTCCAATTAAATTACTACTCGCCTAATTTGTATTCTTTGGCCACTTTATTTAGCTACTTACTTACATATTTACCACGTTGTAGACCTTCTTCGCCGATTTTAACTTCAACGAAAATGCATTTTCTATTCCAATTTTCTTATAAGGAATGCGCACGTAGCGAAGAAAGTGCTGCGTAGCCAACTAGGTAAAAGTTTTTGGTCGACGCATAATTTCTATGGGCTTAGGTCACTAAGTGCATACTGTGTGTGTACATTAGGGTAGTCTAAAATAAGTGAAGTCGGAATTTTAATGCTCTCACCCCTTATGTTTGTTCTATATGGAAAAAATGTACCTCTATTTTTTAATTTGAAATCAAAAAACCAATGTCTTTAATGTTCTTTATATGGAAAAAACAACCTTTCGTAGAAATGGTATGGAATTCTTGAAAATCAATAACACTAATAACACTACCCTATTATTTATTTAACCATTTCTTAATACTAAAAGTTTTATATTTATCCCCATCCCCCTACCCTCCACTGCATTTTCTGACATTTTCTGGGGGTATTGGCGGACCTATAATATAGTTACTATGAAAAAATGGTAAAAAAATAATTGGGTATTATTATTAGCAATCACGTGAAGAGAAGCAGAGTTTGCTGCTCGAAAAATATTGATTATCAAGAATGCTATACCATTTCTACGAAAAGTAAAATACATATATAAAATACATGGAAAATATCGTGCGCCTTAAACGACCTCTAAATGTTTTTTGGTTCTAAATAAAAAATAGTGGTTTATTTTTTCGGTATGGAACAATCCTAGGCGGTGAGAGCATAAAAATTCCGACTTTACTTTTTCTCTTCAGTTTTGACCACCCTAACCTATATACAGACAATTTGTGTACATATGTAACTATTTATTAAAAAATTACGCAACTCAAATCCTAATTTAGCTTGTTGGTAAAAGTTCATGTAATTTTTATTGCTTTAAAGAAATCGAAAGTTGTTTTATAACTAAATTTAGTGTAAAGATAAAATATATGCACATGGATTTTATTACAACACCTCTCTAGTTGTCTGATCTTAAGCAGACTTAGGGCTAACGAGCTATATTATGACTAAGCAAATTAAAAATTCCCACATTTGCGCAAACAGAAATTATGGGTTTATTTAAAAATTCGAATGCAGTTTTTTTAAATATTCGCTAAAGCTTAGATTTTGTCAATTATTTTTTTTTTATTTTTAACATCATGTAGGCAAAAAAAATTATTTTTCGCAAATTTTTTATAAAAATATGGTTAATTTTAAAACAAAACCCCTAAAAATCAAAGTTCCAAACCTTATGCAAAATTAAAGAAAATTCTGCACATTTTCATTAAAATATTACAGTTCTAGAGCTCATTGAATTGTGGTACAACAAAGTGCAAGTCTGGCCTTACCAAATAATATTCGATAATTATTTTTTTGGCATGGAGAAACTTAGCGACACCTTTCTAACTACTTCATACTTGCACTTTACCAAGATTCAATGTGATATAAGACTACAATATTGCAATGAATATTTTCAGAATTTTCTTTAATTTTGCACAAGGTTTGTAACTCTGATGCTTGGGGATTTTGTTGTAGAATTAATCATATTTTTATGAAAAGTTCGCGAAAAATAAAATATTTAAAAAACAGTTGCCCGGATTGCAAGAATCTCTCTGTACCTAAACTTTCTTGATTGGCTGTATGTTATAGAAATTACTAGTCATATTCAGTGTACAATTGTCAAGGAGGGAGACTTTAGACACCCCAAATGCGGTTTAGTTCAAATGCTTTAATACCGTAACTCTTTAAGCTTAATCGTCTAAAATTCCCCTAAATTAAAATTTAAATTCAAAGTTAAAAGCATTTACTTTCTAATTAATTTAAGGTGTCTAGTTATCAATGCAGCCGAAGATAGCCTAGCATGTTTTTATACGTCAAACAAAAAGACAACAAATGCGTATTTCAGTAGATTCGTCAGCAAGTGCATACATCTGTATAAACATAGCTACATACATGCATATCGCCCGCCGTCTTCAAAAGAGGCACAACTCAAAACTTGGCATTTTACAAGCATTTTAATATTTAACTTGCTCTGTATGTATGTATGTATATACAGTGACGAACAAAAGTATTGGCACAGTGAACTTTTATTTTAATTTATTTTATGTAATTTTGAATAAAAATATAGTTCATTTTATATCAGAAAACATAAAAATAAAATCTCTAAACCTTGTGCAAAACTCAGGAAAATTCAATAAATTTTCACAATAATTTGCAACTGTCTATTCCCATCTTTTAGAAAATTTCTAAGTATGCAGTTTTATAGTACAGTCAATTTTAGTATGACAAAATGCAAGTTTAAAGTTGCTAGAAGATCGCGTTGATTTTTGGCAATCTTTTTAGTGAAAGGTGTTGTTCATTTTCTCTATACAAAAAATAATTTTCGAATATATTTTGTATGGAAGAACTTGGCTGAAAAAAATTACCAAAAATCAATGCGATTTTCTAGCGACTTCAAACGTGCACTTTGTTATATAATTTGATTAGGCTATAAAACTGCGTATTTAGAATTTTTCTAAAAAATCTGAATAAAAAGTTGCAAACTAGTGTGCAAATTTAATGAATTTTCCTGACTTTTGCACAAAGTTTAGAGATTATATTATTATGTTTTCTGGTGTAGAATGAACAATATTTTTATAAATAATTATCGGAAATAAATTAGAATAAAAAACTTTGCATATCTTGCGAAAAATTCACTGTGCCAATACTTCTGTTCGGCACTGTATATGTATGTATGTTAGTTAGGGCCAAATCTTGCAATAAATTTTTGATCAACTTCCCGATGACCTAGACACTTTAAACTTCACAGTCGCCTCAGAACCCGATGAAAATGCAAAAAGAAAGATGATCTAATCCGATAGGTGGCGCAGGAGTCGATTTATTTTAAAAGCCCGTATTTGTAATCCGATTTGGTTCATATTAAGAGCAGATATTAATTAAATGAAAAAGAATAACTCCACTAAAAATTTTACCGATAGGTGGCGCACGAGTCAATATATTTGGTAAACCAGTATTTTTGGTCCGATTTCGTTCATAATTAGAAAGCTTGCTTTAAAAATATTTGTTTTTACTATTATTTTATTTGAAATTATGCACCAAAAATACGCACAGGGCTTTTGTTTACCTTTCAGAAAAAGCTGGAGGAAATTTTTGTTATAATTTCGAGCCTNTTTTGGTCCGATTTCGTTCATAATTAGAAAGCTTGCTTTAAAAATATTTGCTTTACTATTATTTTATATGAAATTATGCACTAAAAATACACTCAGGGCTTTTGTTTACCTTTCAGCAAAAGCTGGAGCAAATTGTTGTTATAATTTCGAGCCCTAACCGCCAAAATAATGTAAGCGATATCTTTTTTCAAAATTTTCTTTTTGATGCAGAACTACATCTAAATGCTCTAGGAATATTTTTGCATCAAAAAGAAAAAAAAATGTCTTACGTTATTTTGGCGGTTGAGACTCGATTTGTTAAAAAAAAAAGCTAAGGAAACGTCTCCCTTGCCCATATGATTATCATGAAATAGTTTTTCGCATTTTCTGACAAACGTGGAATTTAAAGTTGTGCCCCTTTTGAAGACGGTGTGCGATATGTACGTTAGACCGTATTTTCGCAAAGCAATTTGGATAACAAAAGTTTTTTCCGCCGTTTTACATTTTTAACCGACTTAACAAAGACGAGAAGGTTATTAATTCGAGGGAATATTTTTTTTATTTTTTTTTTGTGTATGTTACGGCATATCTTTGGACCACGTAAACCGATGATTCTTTTTTTAGCGGAAAGGTGTTATCTGACAGATGGTCCCATACTAATTTGGTTTAAATCCGATCATTGGATCATGAAGAAAATCTTCAATTTTTATATAAGAATTGAAGTCGGTTTTGTATTTTGCTTAAAAACTAGTTGTTCATCATATTTTCGGCTTTTAAGGCCGGATCTTGAGTACGATATATCCTTGTTTTTACCTACTGGGGACAATTTTTTATTTTTTTTTGTTCCAAGTTCATTGGCCTCAAGAACCCCGTTCTAGTACTTACCCTACTGCCAGAAGCTTAAAGCTCACCAAAAATCATTTAACTTTTGCTAAGGAAGTTTTTTTATTATTTCAGCAGAATTATTAAAAAATAATAATAATATTGCCGAATGTAAACAGAGGCCCGCATTTTCAGCAAAAAAAAATCGAAATTGCCTTTCAAAAAAACTTTAGACAAAGAGGTGTACGGCGAAGGTTTTGTTGTTTGTTTGCTTGTAAGATGGTACGGACTAATGTACATACATAGTACATGTTTACACATTGCATGCTGCTTTTAATTTTTAATTTTTTTTAGTCTGTAAAAATCGACTGCAAGACGATTATCAATAAGCAGATCGAAAGTGCAATAAAATGAAACGCGTTCACGTGAATTGTAATTATTTTTAAAATAATGACCGTAGACGATAAGCCAATAAGCAAAAGTAATGTAGGCGCTGAAGTAAAAGTCCTTGCAGTGCAACGACCTTGAATAAATATGCATACTACTTACTTAAGCAAATGAAATGTTTATTAAATAAGAAGTGACAAGTCAAATTGGCGAGCAAGTCTTTGGGTATTGACAATATTTTGTACTTATAAAGAAATATTCACAA